TAGCCGATATATTGATCGATATGTCCTTTTATATTGCTTATCCCTAAACAATATAATTTAGCAAAATTTCATTAGGGGGTGTTATTCGTTTTGGATTATTGAGTATGACTAGGACAATTGTCCATGAATCTGACATCCTTGGTTTGGGTTAGGAATTGAATTTTTTGGTTTAGAGCCCTGGATTTTTGGCTTGTGTTTTAAAATTTTTAGTAGAATTCTTGAACTTTTGAGTTGGATTATTGAATCGAAAGTTGAATTATTGTGCTAAAATTTAAGTTTATGGACAATTTTAATTAGAATTTGAACACTAGATTAATATGTTAAATTATAATTATTATCAAATATAATTAAAATTCATTTCAAGAGACACGCTCATTATGATTAAGGAATAGCAGAACAAAAGAAACTACATAGAAAATAGAATTTTGCCACATGCAAATGCATGTGAGAAAAAAAATATAGGAGTTAAAGCTTTTAATTAAACTGACATGTTCAAAATCTGATTAAATTTTTTAGTTCATATTCATAATTTAGATGTAGTAGTAGTAATTTATTGATTTAATTATTATAAGATAGATAAATGATATTTGCTTATCTTAACAAAATATTTGTAAAAGAATGTTTTTTTTTTGAAGTTACCCTTTGTAATTTCCAATGTAATACATAATTCTATGTTATATGTTAATAATTTTGCCTAAGAGATATTTAGTAGCTTGAAACCTTCAGATCCATTATTTTTAATTACTTTCAATAACTTTCAAATATAATAAATATTTATATGATACATATTTTTATAATATATTAATCATGTAATGACATTTATTGTATTTAAATTAAACTTTCATAAAAGAATTATATTTAATTACTATAATTGAATATACTTCTATCAGTATCCAAGATTAGAACAAGAAATCCACATTGTCTTTGGACTTTTTTAGGTATTAATTTGGTAGGAAAGTATGTAGTTGGATTGAACGAAATAACCAATAACATGTTAAAATCAAATCCAAATTCTAGTCCTAATTAAATTTAAATCTGAATCCTAATCCTAAACGAATAACACCTTAAATTCAAGTCTAAATTCTAGTCCCTTAAATCAAAATCCAACAAAAAGTCCCAGTACAAATTTGCCAATCCAGAAGGAATAAACATGCCCCGCTGAAATTCTACCCTCTTGAAGTTTTCTAGCAAATTCTAGTATGCTATTTTCCCCAAGTTTCTACTACTGATTTGATTAGTGATCATCAACATATATTATTGATATTTTTTTATTCTTAGATTTTATTAAGTATGTTTGGATTACATTTTAGGATATGACACTTCGATATCTACTACATATCCCCATTGTTTCCCCGATATCTTTAATCCGGTGTGAATTTTGGTCATCCGATATTTCCCCAACATCCAATACTTAAAACCTTTTGCCTTTTTCTGATTACTTTTCCTAATAATCAAATTATGTGATAATTCCCTCCTCTTAAACATAATTTCATTCAGTTGATTCTTTTACCAGTTTCATGTTTCTTGATTCTCTGTGATCTTACTTTCTTAACTTCTCAAACATTTTAGGCCTTCTTTGTGCAACTTTACCTCAGAAACTTTAATGCCTTGAATTTTCATTTCTGAACTGGGCTCAGTCCAAACCTGTGACTTGTGGCCTTCATAGATGCTATTTTTGTTTGAAGATATTCTGCAATTTTTTTTCTTATGGGCAGATTGATAATCTGTTGTAAGGTGTATATATATAACTGGTGAGTATTGTCTTTTTTAATCTTCATTCTGGTTATAAATTTAAGCGGTGCAGCTGGTATTCATATTTTGTGTAGAAAAATAATGCTGATGTAGGAATTATGTTGTATCTATTTATTTCCAGAAATAACTAAATTAATGTATTTATACTATTGCAGTTTTTGGGATGGCTACTTTGAATATCTCATGGAGCGATCTTCAAACAAGTAGGTCACTGTTCTTATTGGTCCCAATTGGTTGGCGTCCTCCTTTTCCTGCATGTACTCATTGTTTCTTTAGGGTCCTCTTATGTAACTTTTGAACTTATAGCAGCAGAGTTGATTTTTTACTTCTGATTCAAAAGATTCTAATTGTTGTACCTTCTTCAAGATAAGTGCAGACTTCAAGATACTAAAGGTGTAGGGGTGCAAATTTGAGCACAACTCGCGGTTGAAACCTTTTTGACTAGCAAAAAGGTTTATATTGCAACTCCACTTGCAGCCAACCCCTAATAGATGTCCAAAGAATATTGATATCCAATGACAAAACAGTTGCAACTACGACTATAATTGTAAATTGCAAAACTTTTAAATTGAACCAAGCAACTGCTACTGCATGTGACAGCAGGTGCAGCAATGCTCACTTGAATTGCATTTAGAACTGCAACGAACCAAACAGGCCCCTCGTGCATCCTTAGTATTAGAATTTTGATTTTCTAATTTAAAATTTCATGTAACATTATCTATGAAAGGCAAGCTACACAATAATATTTTAGTTGATTTATAACTCTTGTTCATTTGGGAATCTTTTTCCTATTTAAGATAGATTTCTAGGTACAAAAGTGTTTATGCTATAAAAATCTACTCTTTGAGATGTTTATGATTTTGATTTATTCTGAAGAGGGTGTTATCTTCTTTAAGTTTTGTGTTGTGTAATGCGATTTTGGGTGTGACCCCTAGTTTTTCTAGGTCTGAAATCTCAAATAAGCAGGCACATATTTTTTTTTTCCTTCTTTCTTTTCTCTCTAATTTGTTGTTACAAATTCCAAACCTTAAATAGGTTTAGACCATCTTCTTTTGTCCTCTATCACTAACCAATGAGCGGATTGGGTTGCGCTGGCTCAGATTGAGCCCAGCCTAGTTATACTCCTATATACCTATAATGAAAAATAATGGTTCTAGCCTATTTGTTTAGTATCTGCATTGCTGTTTCATAGGAGCATGATAACACTAAACAAACATATTTTTTAAATTCCTATATATTAATTCTAAATGTTTATTATGATGTTGAGGCACGTCGTTAATGATTGATTAGGTGCAGTGAAAGTACCCACAACTTTACAATTTTTTCTGGTCGGTCCTCAACATCACAATGTAATGTCCTGTCCTGATTAGCTGGGGTTTGCAATGTGAATTTATTTTGGAAAAGGGTTGAGAGTATAGCTTAGTTATTATTATTGTTGTTATTATTATTATTATTTGGAATTCCATTCAAGTTTGACCATGATATATATGCATCTTTTTCATGGCTTGGCAAAGAGTTGTGATGCTTATGCCGAATCTTTTTTGGGGATTCAATACAAGCTTGACATCGAGGGCTGAAATTAATTTTTGTTAAGGTTTTTGTAAAGGATTTCTATCTTATATCTGATATTCTACTTTATAAGACTATTTTATATCTGTAAAAAACATCAAATATTGGATGATTGTTACATGTACATAGATTACTTGGACTTAACTCACTTATAGCTGCCATCATAACGTTGTGTATGATGCACGCCCTTTGCCTCCTCCCTGTGAAATACTTTTGGCCTGTGAAATGAGAACAGTTTATGCACATTCAGTACTTGTAGATGAACATCTATATTTGGATGATTAGAACTAGCTCATATGTGCTCAAGGTGTTACACTATCCTTTAGCATTTGAAACTTCACTTTCGTAATTGCACAAAGTTTTCATTACTCGTGCCTTCTTTGACTTTCTGTTCAACGAACTACTGTATGTCAAAATTCGTTTTCCTTTTAAATGAATAATATGTGTCTGTTAATTTGAGGAGCCATGATTCTTGGGACAACTTTAGTTGTCTAGTTTTCTCGATATTGTATTGTTGGATTGTGATATAATTCTTTGTATGCATTAACTACATACTAATAATCTTGAAATTGACCTTTTCAGAGAATCATGTAAATTCATAACCTTGATTTGGAATACTTACCCCAAATTTTGTGAGAATCATTTATTTATTTGAAGTTATAAAAAGTGTTGTGTTTCAAATCTATCTACATAACCTGTACTACTTACCTCTTCTGACGGTTGATTCTTAATGTAACATAACAGACGGTTGATTCTTAATGTAACATAACCTGTAATACTTGCCTTTTCTGACGGTTGATTCTTAATGTAACAGAGTAGCTAATTATGTGACCCTTCTGACTGCCCAGCTCATTGTCATGGCAACCCATATGGTAAACCTTATAGTTTATCATGCTTATGCTGGAATTGTTGGCGTTTAGTGCACTTGGTTTCAGCTCTGTACAGCATAACTGATTGTTCCAATTTCTTCTTTTCAATTTGTTTATGGAGGCCGGATTAGGATTGCCAGAAAATGATGGTTGGCACATGATCGAGGCAATTGCAGAGAAAAACAATATTGGATACAAGCAGCTTGTATGTTCTCTTGTTTATGTCAAGCTTCTGAACATCTTGCTAAACCATCAGCTATATACTTAGATTTTTACAGCAATGACTAACTAATCATTTATGAGTTGTTTCAGATTAGATTGAGAGCATTGCTGACACATATCCAACTACTCCGTGTTGGTTACTGGGGTATTTCAACTGGTAAATCTCAATCTTCATATGCTTTGTCGTCCCCACGTTCACAAGATGCATCAGATGAAAGTCAACAGCCTGCTGAGGCATCTGCGGTAGGCCGAAGTTGGGTGCAGAGCATGTTTAGCAGAGACAGAAGTATAAGAGCAAATTCTTTTAGTCGAGTTAGCAGGTGGGCGTCTGATACTGACAATTCGGGTATGTTCTTCCATCATGATGTATTACTTCCAAATTTATTTCTTTTGAGCTAAAAAGTTCACTTTATCCCAGTAGACATATGTTTCTTTTTAGGTACTCTGCAAATCAATTGTTTACTAATGGAAGTTTTCTTAATTGTTATTAACTTATTACTGTTGTCAGGTTCAAACGGTAATTTGAAGCATGGTTCTTCGCCACATATATCAGAGATTCCCCCTGTTGGGCAGAAGAAAATTCAATCTAGCATGCGCACGCTTAAGGGTCACGCAAGTTCTGTCACTGCTCTTCACTGTGTAACAAGAAGAGAGGTGTGGGATCTTTTTGGTGATCGTGAAGATGCTGGATTTTTCATAAGTGGGAGCACGGATTGTACGGTTAGATTTATGGAACTCAATACTTCCATTACTTTCTTTAGTTTTCTTGGTTTGACAATTGTATATTCTAAAGTTTCTTTTAATTATCTCTCAGTTATTTGGGTCTTCATCCAGTCTTATATTGTGTTGGTTACCTGAATTGCTTGCTTTTATGCACCAACCATGACATGCTTACTTATAATTATTTGACCTCCTTCGAATTTGTCAAGCTTCCCATTTTTATCTACACTTCTAGCTTCTGGATCAATTTTAGACGAGTTTTTTATTTCAGCAGTTTTAACATTCTGTGTGAATCTGTTTGTTCTGTACTCTTCAACGTGACCATGTTCTTACAAATTTCACAGATTAAAATTTGGGATCCTACTTTACGTGGTTCTGAGCTTAGAGCGACACTCAAAGGCCATACCAGGTATTGAAAGCATGTCTTCGTTTCCAGAATTTCTTTCTTCATGCATTAAAGGCTATTTTAAGGATTGAGAGATGTTACATCTTCATTTATGGCAACTTCGGAAAAGGTCATTGTTACTTCAGAAGGGTCATACTGCATTTGAATTTACCACTATAGAACACATGCATTGCACGTGGTTATATTTGTATTGAACTTTGATGAAAATTGATATTAACAAAATGATAGATTTATTAGAATAAATAATTTTGAATAATAATATTTAATTACTAAACTAATGAATTAAAATTTTAAGAAATAATATTTATAATATCATTCTCCGGTTTTCCCATCTATTTGTATTTTAGTGGATAGGTTTCATTTCTAGTACTCGCTAAGGATAAACAGACTAAAAAATATTATCATAATAAATTGCAACTGTATAACTAAGAGGAGTTTGTCAAAAGTTCAGTAGAAAGTAATGAAAAAAAATCTTTTCGATGTAAAACTTGCTACATATGGTTTACACATTCAAACAACTAAATTTCATTAGTTATCAGTTTATTATGCATTTTGTTCATTCTACTGTTTTAAGGGGTGATAAAAAGATATTCAGTGATAAAATTTTAGATGTTTTGCAGATTTGCATGTTTATACCAATACATTTTCATAAGTAAAGACAATAAACTGGGTATCTACCAAAGTTGACTATTTAGGGCCAATTGATAAAACTCATTCGGGTTTACGACGATCTAGTAAGGAATTTGGTCATTTAAGTAAATGTGATTTTCATGTGACATGTTAGTACTAACAAATCAATCTTGGGGGTTCTCAAACAAACTTTTTGGGATTAGTGACAATTTTACAAATTTTAGGGGCTAAGTGCAAAAAAGGCCAAACTTAGGAGGGTTTTGTGAGATTTAGCTCAACTCTTACTTCGTCCTTACCTTGTCTTCATCTCCATCTCAATTCCATCAAGGCGATCATAAACTAACTTGAAAATAGCGTATAATCCATCACTAAGTACCGATAATTTTCTTATCATTGTGAATTGTTGGCATTTGATGGCTGTAACTTTTCTACATCATTGAGGGTTTGGGGAGAAAGCCAATAAAAAAGCAATTTGAGCACAGTGATAAAAGACGAGAGAGAATTTGACTAAACTTCTCATGTGTTTCCATGAGAAATCATATATATGTGGATCCACAACTTCGCGAACTGTTCAAAAAGAATTCAATATCTTGATGTGTGGCTTAAAAGCTATCAAAGTTCATTCTTGATACATAATTCTTCATTTGAAGTTGCTTGGGTTCAATTTTGCTTAATTTATAAAAAATTCAGGATTAGCAATAAAAATGAAGATAATCCAAAAATAGTATTCCTAGCTGTCTCACAATTTCAAAATTCAGGATTATAGCGACTTAATATCATTAGGCATAAAACAACTTATGCATATACAAATATAATATTCCTAGCTGTCTCACAATTTCAAAATTTAGCTTCCTCATGGAGTACTTTTCTCAAAGGAAAAAAAAAATCTCAAACATGACTTGTTTCCTCGCTTTACATAAGAATTACTGAGAAAAAAACTCTTTTTCCTCAAAGAAAAAAAATCGCACAATGACTTCTCTTTGCACACCGTTACATATGTATGAATCATTCAATTAAATACAAAATATATTTCACTAATCTTGATCCATCCAAACTGTAATTGGTTAAAAGAAAAATAACATACATTAATTCCTCATTAAGAAAAGTTAAATGTTAAAAGCACATAGCTAATAGCATCCTTTGACTTCACAGTAAAAGAATTTTGATTTCTTCACGACCATTTATAGAGATGTTGAGGCAGGGGAAGGGTCCTTCTAGTTATGATTAATACATTCAATGGGATTAATGAGCTCTAGATGGTCATTGATGTACTTAATTGGCACATTGAGCCATTTTGATGATAGAGTCAGAAGAGGAGAACAAATAAATGAATAATATTGAGCATTTAAATTATGAATTGTTACCAAATATTATAATATGAAATAATCTAACCTGATATTAAATAATCTAACCTGAAGTTAGAGATTACACTGTAATTACTAAATTATTAAAACCCACCCAAATAGCAACCGCGATAAAATAATATAGAAATATCAAATCTTTGCTGCTTATCTGTCCATTTCTTTTGTTTTTTCTTTGAGATTTTTGTTTTCTCTTTAGTCTATGTACGGGAAGATTCAAAGTTTCTTAAGTGAAGTATTGGCTATATAGCTTATCTTCATGATGATTAAACAAAAAAACTTGAGCACTTACATACAAGTGTATGATAAAACTGTAGAGGAGGAAAATAAAGATTCAAATACAAAATAACTTGTAATTTAAATAGTTATTTGACATTTGATTGGTAGATTTCTCTATTCATTTAATATTCTATAGGACTGTACATTTAGTATTCTATAGTATCGTACTTTTTGTAATTTTTTATTTTTATAGGTTTTTGAAATTTGAAATGAGATGTCAGATTTTTGTGCACATTCGTAACATATTTATTGCAACAATTTTATAGTATTCTATAGTATTGTACATTTTGTAATTTTTTATTTTTATAGTTTTTTGAAATTTGAGATGAGATTGTAGATTTTTTTTACACATTCGTAACGTATTTATTGCAACAATTTATTATTTATTACATTATTTATTATTATCTTTATCATGTTATCATTGCTATGTATTTGTGCATGTTGAAGGGGTAATATTTATGATTTATGTATGCACGTATGTGTTTTATATGTGCATGTATGTCTATTAGAGGGTATTTTTAGAAGAAATGTTTTAACATACAAACGCACTTTTATAATAGTATTAGATTTTTTGACTGGGTTTGATAAGGGAGGAGTGAAGATGACTCCTGGCCAAATTATTTAAAATTATAAAGTTATTAAAATTGGCAGGAAATCTAGCTACCAGAGTTCTGGATCAAATTTTATTTTTTCAAAAAATCATCCTTAAAATAGGTTCCATTTCATGTTACCACCCATAATTACATGAGTTTCAAAATACGACCCTTACGTGCCATTTCGTCAACATATAACCACCTATGCCCACCTTTGCCTAATTTTCCATTCAAAAAAAGTGTTTTTTGATGGATTTACTCATATCTGCTGACTGTTGTGGTAAAACAACACTTTTTTGGATGGAAAATTGGGAGAAAGTGGGCATATCTGGTTATATGTTGATGGAATGGCACGTGAAGGTGTTATTTGGAACTCAGGTAATTAGGGTAAGTACCATGAAATGGGGCCTAATTGCGGGGTGGTTCCCTATGAAAAACCCAAAACCAAATAAAATCCATAGTACCTACCCACACACCAAACAGGCAAGTAGGAGAGCACATTCCAGTGGGGCAAAGATTCTCACTTTCTAACCTCGTCATCCTGCCTAGCTGATCTCTCAGATAGGAAGCACGTGTCAAGTAGTTGAATATGATTCTTTTAACTTCACGATGTTGGAGTTATTCCTTAAATCATGCCACTTGGAGCAGTATGTGACTGCTGATACCAATGAATTTGAGGAAAAGTTAAGAAAATGACAGCAATATGATTTGCTTTAGGTTTGAACTTTGGTAATCAAGCAACTCGGGGGAAGGAGAAGAAAAAAGAATGTAACTGAGATGAGAGCGCTTATGTGTGTGAGCACCAAGGTAATGGAAGTTCGACTAAGAAACAAGCGGAATCACTTAATTGCTGGGAAGTTGGAGTTAGAGTCATCAAGCTAGGCAAGTTGAAGGAAAATTGCTTCACATGATACACACACACACACACACACACACACACACACAAGAGCTTGATGGGTGCACTGATAATAGGCAAACGAGTTTGAGCCTAGGTTAACACAGATGGGCTAGTAAAAGGTCTGATGTGGGCTTTAAGTTGATGGAGTTCAAATATGTGACCTGTGGCTCCTTTGGGGCTTAGGCCATACACCCTTATGGAAACAAGGTATTTAAATAGGCGGGAAATGCACATGTTAGTTACCTTTCTGCAGTTTTGTTTGCATGATAGTATTGTTGAAGAAAAGTCGCACGAAGTGGAGGAACTGACATCAGTCTAAAGTTTTTTTTTCTTTTCCTTCTTCTTTTTATTATTGTTATTTATTATGTTGAAAAAAATAACTATGTCAGTTCTTGAGCATGTCTAAAATTCAGAAGAAATTCCATTATCCTCAGAACTTGAAAATAATGCACCTTAAATATCACCTTTCACTGTTCCTTTTTCCATGCAAGTTATATTTGCTTTTTTTTTTAATCTTCAACGATTTATAGCAGATGTTCTCTTATTCTGTCAATTTAAATTTTCTTGGAGTTGTTGGTGAGGCTTGTTAGATCTAACTGGCCAATTTTATTTTGTTTACAGGCCTATTCGTGCAATTAGCTCCGACCGCAATAAAGTGGTATCAGGCTCAGATGATCAGTCTGTGATAGTATGGGATAAACAAACATCTCAGCTCTTAGAAGAGCTGAAGGGCCATAATGCTCCGGTCTGATCACTTTTTCATCAACTTCTATGTTTCCATGATTGCTCCCCTTATTTAAGAACATTTCATATACCTAGTTATCCTATGAAAATCAACATAAATTCTACTTTTTATTATTAACTTTGAATGCTTATTAATTCTATGCTGAGGAAGTTATCCTCAAAATATGTGAGATAAAATCATGAAAGTGTCGATGATATGGGCAGATTCGGAGCCTCCTCATTTCTTATCATTTTGTTCTTCTTGCCTGTCTTTACTAACTCTTATAAACTTATAATAGTGTGTTTCGGAAAACAAGATTTGAAACACGTATCATCAGATGGATTGGCTTTCAGGTCGCATTAGATGAAGGTTCAGAGTGTTTGGCCTCCTATTCACTCTTGCAGCTTATTTTTTTCTTCTTTGTTAAGAAAATGACTCGTAAGCATTTAGTTAATTGGAGTAGCTTGGGATTATAATTACCTATGTTAACATATTTAATGGTTCCCTTTGTTTCAACTAAGAATCCAGCTCCTAGGTGTAAATAGCAAAATTTTAACATAATTCTTTCGATATAGATGTTGATAGAATCATAAAACCTAAGGTTCCCCATATGTTTTTGGATCTGAAATGACATTTGCAAACTATTGTTGAGCCATGTATTTTTGTCTTGTGTTGCACTTATGCATCTCCATCATAACCATATGCTTTTGCTCCAGTACAACCTGACCCAGCTCTGTGCAACCTTTTCATATTCAGCAATCATGGTATAATCGCTAATATATGTTTAGCGGCATAGTTAGTCTATTGATTATTAACCTACAAGTGCATTAATACACTGTTGGGCCAGCACAGTTAGTCTATTTATTTATTAACCTACAAGTGCATTAATACACTGTTGGATGAACATTTTCTCGCTGGACCTTTAGAAGTTAAGTGCATTTTGTCTATATTGCCATTTATCTTTGATACTTGTGCACGACATAGAGATGCTCTGTCACGCCTCGTGCCCACGAGCCCATTGATGCGATGTAAGCCCTTGGAACCCAGTGAGCGCAAGTCTTTAGCTCAATCCACTGCCAAAAATGGTGGATCATTGTTGCACTTGAATCTCATGACTTATATTTAAACCCTCCCACACTTCTGTCCTCATCCAATGTGGGACTAAACTTGGGGTATCACATGTTGTGCTTACCTTTTAAAAGTTGGCATATAAATTCATCACACAACAGTACAAGTATCTTGATGTATAAAGTGTTCATTCTTTCTATATTTAAGAGGAAAACGGGATCGAGTCCAAGCATAACCAAGTTGGAACAAAAAATCCTCTCTTTTTGAACTGAAGAATTATAATTTATATTCTTCTTTTAGATGTGACTTCTTCTACCTTAAGCCATATATATTCTATATAACAAATGCTGATTATCTCTGCTGTCATATATTCTAACAAATGCTGATTATCTGTGGTGTCATATATTCAATATAACAAATGCTGATTATATCTGGTGTCATGCTTTCAACTTTTAGCCTCTGATTATGACTTCAGACAATCTTTATTGTATATCAGTTCAATGTTGTTCTTTTTATCTGTCTTCATACTGGTTTATGCATGTTAGGTAGCCAAGACTTTCTCTGTTTAACTTGCATGCATTACAATTCTAAAAAAATTATTATGCATCTGAAGATGATAGTCATTGACTAAGTCTCATTCTTATTTTGTAAATTTTCTTATGAAGGTTAGTTGTATTCGGATGTTATCTGGTGAACGTGTTCTCACAGCCTCTCATGATGGCACTGTGAAGATGTGGGATGTGAGAACCGACACTTGTGTTGCAACAGTTGGTCGTTCTTCAAGTGCAGTTCTCTGCATGGAATATGATGATTCCACAGGAATCTTGTCAGCTGCTGGAAGAGATGTGTATGTGAATTGAATCAATTTTCATTGTTATGCATCTAAGTGCGGTACCGGTACTGGTGCGGGTGTGGGTATACGGGTACAGGACATTCAAATTTGTGAAATTTAGGATATGGGGAGATGGCTACGTGTATATATTGAAATTAGTAATTTAGATGAGATCATTATTATTTTTCATTTCATGTGCTATTTGGACTGAAATTCTTATCATATTTTTAAGAATCTTTTATTATGTTGATCATTACAAATCGAAAACTGCTCTTTTGTTAATAGACACTCAAACCACTCTTTTAAATCATAAGCTTTAACTTGGCTACGGGCTGAAACAAACCTCTAACGAGTTCCAAGGAATGGTCATGCAGTGTAAGATACGTCCGGGAAGCGTATGACTAAGTGTTTTAAATTAAGATATATATCATACAATTGAGTACATGTCTGATTAAAATGCATGCATATATCCAAAGAGTGTCCGTGAAGTTCGGGTAAAGGGACGTGTCGGGTATGTATTCGGCATGGGTATGGCTTCATGATAGAAGTACCTAGGTAACATTGTTATGCATGGTTATTAATGTAGAAGATAGAACTTGTCACCAGTTAGGCGTTTGTTTTTTTCAGGAATGCAAATATCTGGGATATTCGTGCTGGTAGGCAGATGCATAAACTTCAAGGTCACACAAAATGGATCAGGTGAGATGGTAGAGAAAGAAAACAAGATAGCAAAGTTCATCCTACTAATCTTAACTATGTGAGTGATGCGCCAATTCTGATAACAACTCAGGTCTATAAGGATGGTTGGAGACACAGTACTTACTGGAAGTGATGACTGGACGGCTAGGGTTTGGTCTGTTTCTCGAGGAACATGTGATGCCGTTTTAGCTTGCCATGCTGGTCCAATTCTGTCAGTTGAGCATTCGCCATCAGATAAAGGAATCATCACCGGTTTGTCATTGTCGCTTTAGCATAGAATTTTTGAATTCATTTGCATTACATAATGCCAAGGTGGCAGATACAACACAACAAAGTTTTTCATTTCACTTTTTTGTTTCATTTTAGGTTCTACTGATGGACTTATTCGATTTTGGGAAAATGATGAAGGTAAGATGTCCCTAAGCTAGAAAGCTAACTGGATGATTCTCTGGCATAAATTTTTCATTGTTCATAGAATTTAAATCTAGACATGTTGATATGCTCGCCCAAATTGTTTAGTTACTCCGTATTGCACCATCTCACACTTAAAATAAAACATGCTCAAGTACAAAATTTGGGGTACCTCATGAAGCTTTGATCATGTGATTTTTTTACATCAAGTAAGCATATGAATCTTGATTTCTAACCATCTTATAGTTTTTTCTGGATAAAAAAGAAAGTGGAGCAACATCGCATTCTTTATTTGCCCTATTGGTGACCTTTTCAATTACCACAAACTGGTGCAGAAGAGTGAAAATTTGGTTATTTTTCTCAAAGAACTTCTTTCTTTATTGTATTGATGCAGGAGGAATAAAATGTGTGAAGAATGTAACAGTTCATTCAGCTTCTATTTTATCTGTTAATGCTGGAGAACACTGGCTGGGGATTGGTGCAGCTGATAATTCTATGTCTTTCTTCCATCGACCTCAAGAAAGACTCGGTGGTTTCTCTAGTGCAGGTTCTAAGATGGCAGGATGGCAACTCTACAGAACCCCTCAAAGATCTGTGGCTACGGTATACTCAGTTCATCCTAAACATTATTGATTCTTTATCAAAATTACTTTATATTCATTATATAAGTTTGGAAATTTTATTTTCTGTCATTTATGATATAAACTGACTTGTTGTGGATTTTGGAATTAGTGATCATATCTTCTCTCAAAAATCCGTTCTTGAAGGTAGAGAAATAAAAAGCACTGCTAGACAAAAATTCAAAAATCACCATGAAATTTCTTATCTAGTAATTGGTGTTGGTTCTTCTATCCTGCACCTTTTTCAATAGTAAAGGAACTTTTTAAGTGAGCAATAACATTCAGCAAGCATGGGTGTGGAAATTAGCTAGCATTGTTATCGAGGCGCGCGCCCCGGGCACGGGGCGCTGGTACCCCTCATGTGCGACTTGCGTGCGCCTCGCATGCGTCTCGCACGCGCTTGACAACTGCATGATGTAATAGACTATTTCTTCTGTTTTTTTAAATAATTTACATATTACATATTTACATCATGTAATTGACTATTTCTTGCTAGTTGCTAATCTATTCTCTATCTTTTCATGTTTAACCTATAAAAAGGAAACAATAATTAGTAATTTAGTATACTTGTTTGCTAATTGTAACTTCTCTAATTAGCATGCTAACTAGAAAATTATGAACATGTAAATATGTAATTGTTACCTCTATTCTCCATCTTTTCATGCTAACTTGCAAATAGCAATTAAGAATGCTAACTAGAAAATTATGAACAATCATGTTTTTTTTAATCACTTAATTGTTACTTAAAAATACATATATCATATTTTAAATAAAAATACATATTTCTTATTTGTTACTTGCTTGTTTTGTTTCATAGACTTTTGTTTATGTTGGAGATTATCTTGCATTGTGATTTGTGGAAACTTATGAACTTCTCTATGTTATGCATGCTAATGAAGACTCTTTTGTGATTTAGTCGACGAAATTATATTTCTTGGTCTTTTTATGTGACAATTTATAAACATGTTGCTTATATGCTTCTTTGTCTTATGTTGAAAAATATTAGTTTGTGTTGTGCGCCTCAATTCAGTGAGGCGCGTGCATCGTTGTGCACCTTGCGCATGGTGCGCGTAAGGGGTCTTTGCGCCCCGCATTGCGCCTTGCCCCTCGATAACAATGTTAGCTAGCTGATTGCTATAGCTAAGAACTCTAGTACTTAAAACTCTATCTTGTACTTTTTTTCTGTCATATTGAAATTAGGGTTGGTCCAAATATCAATACTAGCAACAACATAAATATTTTCATTTTTGTTGATGAATGTTTGTTGGAGGTTTTTGATGGATATAGGTTGATTCTAAGCATTGTTAGGCACTTTGTTCTTTAGGTAAAGAATAAAAGCTGTGTAGGCGAAAGACATTCACAAAAATATTGCCATGTGGTTCTTTTATCCATTTAAAAAAGAAACAGGGTTGTGGAAATTAACTAGTTTATTAGTAAAACAAGAACCTTGGTTCTTGGTTCTTCTAGCTAGTATTTTTCATATTTCCTCTCTCTGAGAATATGGTTGGTCCAAAGATCAATACTAGCGACAACTCAACTATTTACATTGTTTTTTTTGACAAGTCTGTGAGATTTTTTTGATGTGCATTATTTGATTCTGAACACATCAGGTACGCTGTGTGGCTTCTGATCTCGATAGGAAAAGAATATGTAGTGGCAGCTTCGCAACGGACTTCTTCGGCCTATGGGAAGCCCACCGATGCAACCATCTAGTTGTGTTTTTTTTTGCGGGACACGGGGGGGGGAGGGGGGGGGGCGGGGGGGGGCGTGCTGTAGCAAGAGGTTTCGTGTAATCTTTAATATTTTGCTTGTTTTTTTCATATTTTTCAAGTTACGGGCCAAATATTTATGAAGCGTGTGTTCCTTGAGGATGTATAAATCTGGTTAGTTTACTGTAGGATCAATTTGCTTATTTTTTCAGTTTCTTGCAAGTTAAGAAAAAACTCAGGTATTGTTTTTTTTATAGTGCTTCTGTAAGTTAAGAAAGAGCTCAGGTATATATTTTATTTTATTGCTCCAGAGTTGAACATATCTGCTTTCATGAAATCGTTGTCTATCACTGCAAACCAACAAATTATGGTAGCCAGAATGAAAAAAGAAAAAGAAAAGAAGGAAAAGAGTTTATAGTTGGCTAAATGGGAAAGAAGAATTTAGGGGGAGTTCGAAAAGTGAGAGAGAGGGAGATGTGTATGTTGGTTGCTTCTGCTATGAAGCACAATTATTAATTACTTTGACGCGGGAATACTCAACGACCAGTCGGATTTATCATGTTTACCTATAGGAGTTAGTTCAACATCCATTAATAGAGTGGAACATGTCCGCTCTTTTTATTTCCATTTTAAATGTGCTCGGTAATTGGAAGCGAATAGAAAGTAATTTGAAAGTGGAGCATGATAGGTGCTTCAACATTTTTCACTTTATCCAAATTTTAAGTGGATGAAAGTGAATGAGACCCCCTCTGAGTGGCGTAACGGTTGAATGTAGGGACCTTGGGCAAAGAGGACCAGTGATTAACCAGTATTCGTGTCACAGTTGTTTCCAATATTCATTTGATGTCTCCTCTCTCTTGCTAAAAGCAGATGAGATCAAATGGAAACAAAGATCCCGCATTCAATGGTTGAAAGAAGGCGATAACAACTCTGCTTTTATCCACAAATTTGCTTCCTACCATCGTTGAAAAAACTTTATTCCCCACCTCATCATAAATGACTCCATTATCTCATCTGATAGTGTCATCAAGCAATTCTTTTTTACCTTCTTCTCAAATTTGTTTGAACAACCCCCTGCATCTAGTCTTATACCTAACTGGAATCTTCTTTACTCTCAAGACAATTTTGATCTCTCTTCTCTTGATCTTCCTTTCTCCCCGCAGGAAATCACAGAGGTTGCATTTGACCTGCACCCTGATAAATCTCCTGGGCCTGATAGGCTTCCCATTCTGTTTTTTCACAGATCCTGGTCTGTCATCCAAGCTGATGTTATTGAGTTCATCCAAGGCTTATTTTCTCATCCCCAATCTTTACATAATATCAACTACTCTCACATTTGTCTTATTCCTAAAAAGGATGGTGCAAATTCTCCCAAAGATTTTCGGCCCATTAGCCTCATCAACAGTTCATGCAAATCTTTTCCAAAATTTTGGCTAATAGGTTAAGAAAAGTCCTCCACCTTCTCATCGATAACTCTCAATAAGCTTTTCAATATGGTAAATCTTCTTTGGACTCTTTTCTTTTAGGTCATGAAATGATTAACTTCTGTTCTTCCGGGAAAAAAGAAATAAGTGCCTTCAAGGTAGACTTTTACAAGGCCTTTGACTGTGTTAACTTGTCATTCCTTCTCCCCCTTCTCAAAGCCAGAGATTTTGGCCCCAAGTGGTACCACTGGATCCATCACATTTTATCCTCTTCGAAATCAGCTGTTCTTGTGAATGGTTCTCCTACCAAATTTTTTAGATGCTTCACGGGTCTCAAACAAGGTGACCCTCTCTCCCCCTTGCTTTTTTTGCATGTGGCTGATGTTCTGAGTAAAATGCTTAGCTGTAGCGCTGCTTTGGGGGATTTATCAGACCTCAATTTGAAAGGGGAGCTCAATTCTATTAGGACTATTCAGTTTGCGGACGATACTATCATCTTCTCTAGGGCCTCCTCCTCTGATATGGTTACCCTTAAAACCATCATTTCCATTTTTGCTAACATATCAGGACTTTGTGTTAATCCCCTCAAATCCAACCTTTTTTATCTTGGAAAATCCCCCACAGAGGTAATATGCTAGCTGAGATTCTCAACTGTTTAGTCGGCTCTCTCCCTTTCTCATATTTGGGTCTCCCCCTCAAAAGAGGTTCCCTTTCCAAAAGAGAGTGGCAACCACTTCTAGAATCATTCAAGAAGAAGCTTTCGCTATGGAAAAACAAATCTCTCTACATTGGCGGAAGGTTAACACTTTTGAATTCCGTCCTCTCCTCTCTCCCCCTCTACTATATGTCTTTTTTCAAGCTGCCGCAGTGGTTATCTAAGGCCATCGACAAAATTAGGAAAGATTTTCTTTAGAATGGTAGCCTCACCCACTCTAGAGTCAAATGCCTCATAAACTGGGGGATTTTTTGCAAGTCCAAGGCTGAAGGAGGCCTCGGGGTCAGTGATATCCCCAATTTCAACAAAGCTCTTCTCTCCAAATGGATTTGGAGAATTTCCGACAGAAACTCTATTATTAGCAAAGTGATCTTTTCTGTTTACTCCAAAGATGGGTCAAATCCTATTGCTCACCATCCTAAGAGTTCGGCTTCAAGATTCATCCATGACTTATTCTCCATTCACTCCGCCTTCTTTAGCTTGGTAAAATGGAAGGTTGGAGATGGTAGAGCATGCAGATTTTGGCACGACAAATGGTCTTCGGCAAATTCCCTTTGTAGCCTTTTCCCTCATGCATAGCAGTTAGCTCTCTCCCAAAACTACAGTATCAGATCGCAAGGTAAAATACTCAATGATGCTTGGCTTTGGCATCCTCTAACAATAAGAGGTATCTCCCTACCAGAAAGGTCAGACCTCAATCATCTTCATTCCTTCTTAGCATCTATCAATCCAAGAGACTCCTCTGCTCCGGACGATCTTTGGTGGACTCTCCACTCATCGGGGATATACTCAATCAAATCATATTACTCCTTTGTCAATTCAGGGGGTATTAAATCTCAGCTCTTCAGTATGATTTGGAAATCATCCATTCCTACAAAGGTAAAAGTTCTTTTCTGGATCATCTCTAAAAAGAAGCTGAATACGAAGGCTAATTTGATCCACAAAGGTTGGACTGGTGATCCCAGATGTTCCTTCTGTCAACTGGGTGTAGAAACGCATGATCATCTTTTTATTCACTGCTCCTTCGCTCGTGCAGTCTGGAACTTTCTCTTCCCCCTCCCTCCAACTAACTGTTGGCCCCAGTCCATGGATGAGCTGATTTTATTCCACAATTCTCCTAATCTTTGTTCGGATATAAAAAAAACATTTGGAAGCTTCTGTTGCCTTGCGCTTGTTGGTGGATTTGGTTTAGTAGAAATGCTCTTATTTTCAAGGATTGGCAGCCTAACCCGCTCCACATTGCTTCTAAATATTGTGAGATTTACAATATTTTGGTCAGGTGCCGAAGAGGGTAGGATGGCCAGGAGACTACGCAGGGCTGCTTATAATCTCGGTTTTCAGGAGCTCTCTAAGAAGCACGCCCCCGATGCCTCCGGCGATAATTTCTCCATCGATCTCTAACTCATGTCGTTCCAAGTCTACTGGATGAAGAATTTTCTATGATGTTGAATTTTTTGTTGTTGCTTGCTTTCTTCATCATAGTTGTCATGTTTTCTAGTGTGCTACAATCTACTCTGCTGTGTAAGTATGTTTTTCGGTTTTTTCTAGTTGCAGAAACGCTTTGAGTTTAGTTTGGTAGGTGACGACATATGTCCGCTCCTTATCTGCTTCTCCTTTTGTGTTTCTTCATCTGGATGCGATGTATTTTGCTTTGTTTTCAGGTTATTAATAATATTCCCCTATGAGCAGGGTACCCACCCTGTTTTTTTCAGCTCAAAAAAAATATTCATTTGATGAGTACTACATCACTCGTGCTATTTACAGGCGCTCTGGGTGGCTTAGAGGGACCTAGTGGCTTTGAGATTTTTGACTCTGTTTAGAGGGACCTTGTGGCTTTGAGATTTTTGACTCTGTTCCGAATACTTGATTGACATAGCCAAGATTTCTTGTTCACAGAAAAAAAAAGGGGGAAAAAAGGTGAACGAGGAATCTAATATTCTTCTATGCTTTTTGTTTATAAATTTAGTTTTAAATATTCACTTTCTATTGTTTATTTTTCATGATAATCAAATATCGGATAAAGGAAAATATGTTTCACTAGGTACCATCTCAAATTTACATCTTTTCGGTTTTAATCACCAAAACTAGTTTTTTTTAAATAAAAAAGAGGGTTATTTCAATATTAGTCCCTCAAATCTTCAATATTTCTAAATAAGCCCCCTCAAAGCATAGACGCTTTTACTTGTTTCCCTCAAATCATCATATTACTTGTAACCAGGTCCCTTTGTCCAGGTTAAATGTCTATTTGGTTAGCTTGTGTTGAGTTAGGCTTAACCCCTACGTAACATCCTCCTCCATCCTCACCTCTCGATCATCATTAAGATTCTTATGAGTTTGATGTAAAGCTTTACGAACCCTCCGCACTACTCACTGATATAACGATGCATGTACTCCTAGGTCTATATTTGTGATAAAAAGCTCTAGACTTTCATTTGCAATGACATCAATATCATCAACAATGTTTTTCTATAATTAAGTAAAAAAACATATATAAGCAATTTGTAGGAATACGAAACAAGTAGACTTACCATCTATATGTGTACTGCTAATGCATTCTTGTCCAATCTATGTGATCTCCTCCTTTCTTAGCATTAATTCTATTAATTCTTTCAACTTCTTGCAGAACATGTTCTGCTTGACCAAATTGTCTTAGCACACGAACCAACACATGCATCTCGATAGTCTCAAAGTATATGAGAGGAACTGTGGCTCTCCATATAACTTGACTCTCTAAGCAGATCAATGGTAGATGAGCCATCTTATCATCATATGCTTCCCATGAACTATAAAACATTGCGCATAATAGCATCTCACTGAAAAAAAAGTATAATGTAAAGATTAAATTTTCCTAAAACAAAACTAGTATAATTCTAAACTATATCTAATGACACAAATTAATCGTCTCTTGATATTGAATCCTTTTTAAGATGGCAAAGGAAATTAAGTGGAGGAGAATGAGTGATCATTACATTTAATTGCAATTTTATAGTCTCATTATCTATTTTACTTAAATAAATATATCTACTAATGATGTTTTTTTATCTTAATCTACAAATAATGAAAAATCATCAAATAAGAGCTTAAATGAACAAATTTCCTTTGTTTTTCAACCACATATTGAAGACTAGAGGAAGCGCAAAAGTCCAAAGGTCCAAAAAAGGCGAAGTCAATAAAGCCAATAGAGTTTATTATAAATATGTTATAAATGAATTGTTGGACTAATCGATTAGCTCATCGATTAGTTTGTAATAGAATGCATCAGTGGCTAATTTTAATTTGTTGGAGCCTAATATTTGATCCAAGGGCTGTGGTTGAAGGCTAGACTATAACTAGGGTGTAGAGTAATGGTTTTGAGGTGTGTAAACATTCTATAAAGGACAAATTTTGAAAAACGACCATTTTTCAAATTTATTGGGCAAAATCGACCCTCTAGGAAATTAATGAGCAAAACCAACCCTTTGAGGGTCGGTTTTGCAATTTGCCTCCTCTTGTGAACTGCACGGGACTACTGGTCCCGTGCAGTCTACTTAATTCGCCCATTAATTTCCTCGTGACTGCCCATTAATCGGCTCCTCTCCAAAAAAAATCCCAAAAAAGAACCCCCGCACCCGCTCCTCCTCCGACCGCCCATTAATTTCCTCCATCGCCGCTCGTCGAGTTCCTCTTCACCCGCGCGCCATCACAGCCCCCCGAGCTCCGCCTCCGCTCGACCACCGCCCTGAGCACCTCAACCCAGCCAAGCCTTGCCACAGCCCTCCTGAGCTCCGAGCTCCTCCTCCCCGAGCTCCCTTCGTCGCTGCCCTCCGACCCGACGCACCGCCCTGAGCCTCCACCTCCTCAAGCTTCACCACGCCGCCTTCTCCCTAACTCCACCGCCCCCATCACCCGCTCGAGCCACCGCTTAGCCCGAGCTTCTCCTCCACCCGCACCACGATCCGACAGCCTCCGACCAGCCGAGCTCCCCTCAGCTCCGCCGTCAGCCTCCTCCGCAGCCCAAACTCCGACCACCACGCCAGATCCGCCCTCTCCTCCTGTCATCGCGCAGCCCAAACTCTGACCACCACGCCAGATCCGCCCTCTCCTCCTGTCACCGCGCCCCAGCTCGACGCCTCAGCCCCCGATCCCTTCGTCGTCGTGCCAAGCTAGGGATTTGGTTTTTTCTTGAAGAGGAGAGCGATTTGGGGTGGTTATGAGTGCGGGAAATTAAGTAGACTGCACGGGACTATTAGTCCCGTGCAGTTCACAATAAGGCCACACCGCAAAACCGACCATTTTCTTAAGAAAATGGTCGGTTTTGCTCATTAATTTTCTAGAGGGTCGGTTTTGCCTAATAAATTTGAAAAAAGGTTGTTTTTCAAAATTTGTCCTTCTATAAACTCTATTTTGGAGAGGAGAGTTACTCTTAATTGAGAAAACTTTTCAAATAGTAAATTTTTTATTTGCAATAAAAAATTTAAATTTGGTTTCTTTAATGATGAAGATTTGCTTCTAAAGAGGCCAACCCCTTACAATGCAAGTCATCATTTCCTCTTTTTATTTTCTTGCTTAGTTTTTCATTTCTTAGGTTTTTAATTTTAGTTTTTAATTTCATCTTTGTTAAATTAGATTTATTACTTTATATTGTAGATATATTTCATGCTTTATAATGTACATTTATTTTCTTGCTTTTTTATTACTTTCTAGTAGATTTTCTTTCTTTCTTTCTTTCTTTGCTTTATAGTTTAGATTTACTTTCTCGTGCTTTTTAGTATAAATTTTCTTTCTTTATTTTTATTTTATAATATGAGTAGCTAATTATTGCAGAAAATCTAGAATTAGATGAAACTAATTTAAATTTTTTTTTTGGCTTTTAAATTACTCTCTTTGTGTTTGAAATGATCATGCTTAGAATAATCAACTAGAAAACTGATTGGTAGAAAAATAGTTTGATAAGCTATGCTTTCCTTAAGTTGTTTGATATGGCATGCTTATTCAATTTTAGGGTACTATTTAGTTGTTTATTTTTTCATTAATTGTGATATTGCTTGGATGTGAGAATTAAAAGAGATTAGTTATTAATTTTAAATTGAAATTAACTAGAGGATTCAATCATAGATGCTTATTCTACTCTCTTGATTTCCTACATTTCAATTATTTTTAATTTTGATTTCTTGTTTTGAATCTCGATCCTCTTTGTTTTCTTTTTAGGACAAATTTTCAAAACCAACCCTTTTACACATTTAATTGCAAAAACCGACCCCTTTTCATAATAATTGCAAAAACCGACCTGTTTTCAGCCCAGCGCTGAAAACAGGTCGGTTTTTGTAAAAAAATCTCCGAAACATCACGGGAGTTCAACTCCCGTGAAGTTTATGGAGAAATTAAACTTCACGGGAGTTCAACTCCCGTGAAGCTTAATTTCTGCTTAAAACTCCACGGGAGTTGAACTCCCGTGGAGTTACAGTCAGCAATTCCAGAGAATCGAGTTTGGCAACTTGTGACTGCAACTTCACGGGAGTTCAACTCCCGTGAAGTTGCAGTCACAATTTGCCAGACTCGATTCTCTGGAATTGTTGGCACTGCAACTCCACGGGAGTTGAACTCCCGTGGAGTTTAGTGCCCCCTATTTAAGCGCGTGACCCACCCGATCCCAGACCACACAAACCCTAATATTTCTGCCTCTTTCCCAAACGCCGCCTTCTCAGTCGCCACCCCATCCTCCGACCGCCGCCGCTCCAGCCTCCGACCCCCGCCGGTGCCCCAGCTTCCGACCGCCGCCGGCGCCGCCTCCTCCGACCGCCGCCTCCGGTCAGATCTCAGTCAGTTTTTTCCAAAAAACAGGTAAATTCTTTCAAAAAAAAGCTATACTCTCTAATTGTTGTATACTCCCACTATTTGATTGTGATTACATGTAAGAATCTAGATTTTAAAATTTAATTATGAATTGTTTATGAATTTTATGAAGAAATGTGAAAAGTAGATGGGAAATTATCAATAAATGTGAAAATTAGAGGGAAAATTATCAATAAATGTGAAAAATAGAGGGAAAATTATCAATGGGGAAATTATCAATAATTTTGTGAAATTTGTGAAGAATTAGTGTGTAATTTATCAATAATTTTGTGAAATTAGAGGGGAAATTATCAATAATTTCGAAAATTATTGTATTTAGAGTTTAGAATTTAATTGTGAATTATTTAGATTTTGTGAAGAAAAATTAGATTTTAGATTTTACATATGTATGATTTAAATTAGATTTTAGAATTTAATTTTGAATTATTTACGAATTTTGTGAAATTATCAATTAATGTGGAAATTAGACTTACTACCTAAATGTAAAAATTAGTAACAATCAATATTTATTTGGCTTTTCGTGTAATATTGATATTGAATTTTTCACTCTTCAGAGGTAACGATGAACGATCGAATTGTAATTCTCTGTTCTTATGATGGGAAGATTAATTACCTCGAGAATAATATGCCCGTATATGAAGGAGGAACGACGAGACCGTTGTTCATAACAAAATCGTGTACTTTCGATGAGTTGGTTAATGAATTACACAAACTTACATTAACTAACTCACGTGAGTATCACCTCAGTGTGGTTTGCAATTATCCTGTTGTGGAGAACAGAACAAGTGGCATTCAAATATTAAGTGACTACGATATGGAGCCGGCACTTCGCAACTTCATACACAGCCGGATA